GAATCGGGGTCGCTCGTAGCTACTTGCAGAAAATTCACTGCCTAGAAATGTGTGATGATTGAAAAAGTTGAAATTTAAACTTGAAAAAATTGATGTTTTCGCCCTTTCAAAGTATAGCTAACATAAATTACAGCCTCGATTTCGCCTTTCTTCGCTCCCATTCTACCAAACCACCTTTACTCTAGCTCCAGATTACCTCTATTTTCTTGATCTAAAGGAGAAGCACTAGCAGGGTACAGCCCCCCCCCCTCCCCCCAAAAAAAAAAATAACATTTTTTTCACTTAAATTTTTAATCGCTTTTTATCTAAACAAATAATATAGTAGCGAAAAAAAAAAAACTAATTCCACACGGTATTTGCAAAATTTGAAAGGTTTTTTGTCCCACCGATGGGCGGGGGAACAGCAAATTTTGTGTTTTTTAAGGAAATCAAGCAAAAAAAAGGTGATCAGAATGACCACTCCAAGCGGCAGGGAAAATGCACCTAGCATTCCCCATCGAAACAACGAAGAAATGCAAAAAAAAAACAGGAAACCAAAACCACTAAGGGAGTATCAGGCGGTGCAGTTATGGGAGCTGTAACCGCGGGAAAATTTCCCGCAAAATTGCTGGTACCACAAATTATTGCAGTGAAATGAAGTGTACCTCTTCGGATGGCATTTCCACGGAAACAATTTTAGGTGATGGTCGTTTAAGTGCTGTTTTCAGAAGAAATGTATCCGAATAGTCTCGTCGCAAGCACAGCATCTTCGAATCTGCTATAGCCAGCGTACCAATGTGCTTGTTGTAAACCATCTGAAATTTAGACGTGCTACACCTTCAAACTCAATTTTAAACACCAAAAATAGCTTCGTTTACGATCTTACTAAGCAGATTGCAGCAATCAGGTTGACCCTGGGAAACCTAACTGATAAAGATGCGACAGATATCAAAATGGGATAAGCGGATAAGAGCGAGATAAGACGTTCCGGTCCAATAAGTCATATACGCCTTAACTGAGCACCGCAACAGGACTTCGTCAGTATGACAGTCGCAGTGCTTAAATATTACATCCCCTGGTGCAAGTACAAAGCAATCACGGGCCCAAGTAAAATGATGCGGTGGCCAACTTTACTGCCCTTATCGCTTATCTGATTTTAATCAACCAAAATTTGCAATGACGTACGGATGTGAAACGTGATCACTGACGAAAGCTGAAGAGCGAGAGCTGGCTACGACAGAGAGAGAACTATGGAACGGAACAGCTGGCGCACCAAACTACACACCAAACAGACGGTGAGTACGAACTGGAGGTTATCAGTCAGGGGCTTGGAGAAGTGATTTTTTTTGCCATGCAAAGAATATCCCAGTAAAATTACAATATGGGATTGCCTTGGTAAAATATATGAAATCGCCCATTTTCACCAATATTGTGAACAATTGGAATCCCTCAAGTACGGGGTATCTTCGAGAAGCGCAATTGAAAACAGCGTCGGAATCTAGGTATTCTGCTAGTTCTGGCTTTCGTTTTATTTTTTGATTCCAGCCGTTCCAAATTTTGGTTTTTTTTGGACCGTTCACTTCTTTTAAAGGTACGACTCGGCTTTCTAACGGCCGCAATTCATCACTGCACTTCAGAGGATAGCTCGAACAAAAAAAAAAATCATCCCAGAAAAACCAGGTGACTGCGACGAATCTCACAAAAAAAGGCTCAAATGCCCTTCGTCTTTTTCGATGTAGAAACCCGCCTCCCCCCCTCCCCCCTCTGCCCCGTCCCCTCTCTCCCCGTAATTCTTTCAGCCAAAAACGGCAAAGTAATTACTTACGCGTGCATTTGGGTTGAGGCGATATGTGGCAAGCGGAGCTGTGTTCTCGAATGTGGCATCAAATAGCATGGTAAGGCCGTTGATGCAGCGAAGCAGGATCTGATTTGTCGCATCCAGGTAGAGGATTTCCGGCGAATTCAGTGCGCTGAAGTTGAGCACTAACCTGAAAAACGATTAACTAAATGTATTGTAGAAATTCTAGAGATACAAACAATGAATATCTCTGGCTAGGAGCTGTTGGAAGTGGACGGGGAGGCCTGGAATACGTTAAATTCTGCTCCAACAATAAAATCACTGAATGGCGTAGGCAATATCCCTGAACTTTGATTGAAAAAAATCCATGTATGATGTATTTCGAGCATGAACTGTAACAATTACGAGCTAAAACATGAGCAATAAAACTCATGATTCTGAGGGAATGCATTTATTAAACTGTAACTAAGCCGACTGCAGCTTACAGGTTAACCCTGGAAGTGTGTAGGAGAGAGTAGTAGTGTAGATTGGGGAAGGTGAGAGCGAGATACGACCGTTTCGGTCCATTAAGTCATATACGTCTTAACAATGCGACTGGACCTTGTGGATCAGAGGCGGATCTAGGGCGATTTCCTGAGAAGAGGGAGGAGGAGGTGTTACTAGTCCTATTCAGGCGTCGCAACTGCGCTTTTACCTCTTCACTTTGAATTAATTCTAGGCATATGTCAGTACCAATTTACCATCGAATGAATCAAAAATAAACAAGCTGGTTTTCCCTGCGGTACAGCTGAAATAGAAGAATAGAAGGATTTCACTTGAATGTCATGTGTGTATGAGAAGATACTTTATGCTTTTGCAATTACAATAACAGTGCCCCTATTTGCCGTTGGGCAAATGCTGGCCAGATACTTCAAACCGGAAGTTATTCTTTTTTATATAATTTGCATAAAATTAGCGAAAACAAACACAAATAATAAAACTAAATAAACAGCAACGCGCGCCAGACTAGCCGGTACGACCATGCATTTTGTGCAATTCAGCCCATTGAACGATTGTCTATTAATGATTTTCATTGCTTTGTACTTTTGTCTATGCAAAAACAGTTCAAATATTGGAAAACAGTTAAAAATTTCACGCACCAGCGCATGAAAGCTGAATTCCAAAAGTTGAAAGGTGAATATCTTTCCGTGATTCCCTAGTTAATAGTTTACCCGCCAAAATTTTCACGAGACCAGGTGGTACCCGAGAGCGCGAGAACGCTGAATTTGAATGGGCAAGGTTGAGCGTGGACAGAGAGTTATTACCCTAAAATATCAGCTTTCCAGACCCGGTGGTTCCCGAGATAATAATTTACCCGTAAAAACTTTCACTAGCCCGTAGGTGATACCCGAAAGCGCGAGAACGCTAAATTTGAATGGGCAAGGTTGGGCGTGGGCAGGGGTCACTGGTCTTAAATTTCAAATTCCTAGACTCCGTGGTCCCTGAGATACTAATTTTCCCGTAAAAAATTTTCACGGAGCCGTAAGTGTTACCCGCGGGTAAGGGAAGGCTGAATTTGAATGGTCAAAGTTGAGCGTGGGCAAGGGGTCATTTCCTTAAAATTTCAGCCTCCTAGACTCCGTGGTTCCTGAGATATTGATTTACCCGTAAAAAAATTTCACGGGGCCGCACGAGTTAACCGCGGGTAAGGGAAGGCTGAATTTAAATTTGCCGCATCACCCGTTGGCGGGGAACACCATACCAAAATTTCAGCCGCCTAGCTTTTGTGGATCTCGAGTTGAAAATGCGGGAGAGAATGTGGGACACAAACACACATACAGACAACCCCGTGACAATATGCGTTTTGTAACGCTGTTACACAGCACAAAACGCATAAAAAACCGTTCAGAAGCAAAACAACATACTCAGCAACTGGGACGATGACATAACTTTCCTCGCCGCCTCTACTGATGGGATGTTCCAGTCGAAAGAGGTCAGCAAATGCGGCTGTCGCAGCACCACTAGCAGCAGCACCACCACCAACACCACCATTACCGGAACTGGCATCACCGTCGCCGACTGCTGCATCGCATTTGCTTAGATTGCCGATGCCGCCAGCGCCGCCGCAGTTATTGCTGCTATTACTGCTACTACTGCTGCTGCTGTTACTGCTGCTCATCTTCCAATAACAACA